AAACCCTAAATTTTAAACCCTAAACCATATTTTGGAAGCTGGCCCCAGGCAGCTTCTGTTTCGAAATATCCTGCCTCCCGCGCAAGTCCGAGTATCAGATTTCAGATTTTCTCCATCTTGCAGCTAACTTCTAGGGTTTTTTTGTTGAGACCTCTTTTCCGTTCCGCTACAGGTCAGGAATACCATGCTGGTTGAGGTAGGGGCAAGGAGTGAAGTGGTTTAGGGTTTAGGGGTTAGGGGTTTAGGGTTTAGGGTTAGATTCTAGGTCGAAACTCAGGAGACCGAGCAAGTAGTTCACAAGTACAGATGCGTAGTGCCGATCAAACTCCCATCGCATCTCATTATCATCTGAATTCATTCGACGACTGGGGAGTGAAAGGAAGACCTGTCCGGTAAACGGAGTCCAGGATTTCTCAGGCACGTTTAAGGAATCAAGCCGCCGTGATGCCGCCAGAAAAGGATGCTTGTGGCACTGTACTGGCGCAAGATGGTGCGAGTCAAGATGCAGGGTTACGGGTGCGGAGTTTTCAGGCACTCACGGCTTGTCCACAAACAAAGCCCAAACAAACAAGCGCCAACGCTGGTGAACTTTAGGCCCTTCAGCCATTGAACGCCGGAATCCTCTACCCCCAAACCTCCGTCTAACCTTTAGCCCGAAACCTTGCACTCAAAACCCTAAATCCTAAACCCTAAACCCTAAACCATATCTCTGCACCTTGGAAGCTGTCTTTTCTGTCTGGGTCTTGTGGCAGCAGCTTTTGCGCAGAATCGCTCTGCAACCTCGGAGCTGTTCGGAGTTGAGGGCCTTAATTGTTTAGGGCTATGGGTTTAGATACCTACCATCTTCAGGACTTATAGTACAGAAGGCATAAGAAGGAGCCCCCAAAACGGTATGTCTCTCAGGTTTGAGGTCATGTTAAAGGTAGAGGCCAAGCAAACGAAGCTATCCAAAACCCTCAACCCTAAACCCTAAACCCTAGACCCTAAACCCAAGGACACTGCAACTCCGAGTCGGAGTGCCTGCCTTCGACTTCGCTAATTCCGCGGAGTTGTTCGTTTTTTTTTGGTTTAGGGTTTAGGGTTTAGGGTTTAGGGCTTAGGGTTTAGGGTTTAGGGTTTAGGGTTTAGGGTTTAGGGTTTTGGGTTTTGGGTTTAGGGTTTAGGCGGGGACCGGGGAGTGGCGGTGGAATTCCGGGAAGATCCGGAGGATGAACCTCGGGCTCGCAATTCCCAAATCCTTTCCCCCCTACCCATAGGCCCCACAGTAGCTCCTTTTTGGGATTACCTTATAGGATTCTAAATATGAACCCCCAAAAGGAACTACTATGGGGCCTATGGGTATACAGATAAACCTTTACCCAAATCCACAGCCAAAGCCATGGCAGATTTGAAGTCGATTCTGTGTTGCCAGAGAGACACGGTTTAGGGTTTAGGGTTTAGGGTTTAGGGAGACATCAACATAACCTACAATAGTACCAGACCGGAAGCTCCAGGCATGGGTACTTGGGTACTCTCCCCCCTAGACCTGATAACCCTCAACCGTACAACCCAGACCCTCAACCCTACACCTAAAACCCTAAACCCCTAAACCCTGGACCCCTAAACCCTAAACCCTCTAAAACCCCTAAACCCCTAAAACCCTCTAAACCCCTTAAACCTCTGAACCCCTAAACCCCTCTAAACCCCTCTAAACCCTCTAGAACCTAAACCTCTGAACCCCCACACCTTTGAAGAGGGGGGATCTTAGGCAGTAAACCCCTAAAACCCTCTAAACTCTCTAGACCCTTAACCTCTGAACCCCTACACCTTTGAAGAGGGCGGGGATCGTAGGCGGTAAACCCCTACAACCCTCTAAACCCCTCTAAAACCCCTAAACCTCTGAACCCCTAGATACACCTTTGGGGGGGATCTTAGGCAGTAAACCCCTAAAACCCTCAAAACCCTCTAAAACCCTCTAAACCCTCTGAACCCCTAAACCCCTGAACCCCTACACCCCTCTAGACCCCTAAACCCCTAAACCCCTGAACCTCTCAACCTTTAGGGTTTAGGGTCTATGGGGTTCAGGGTTTTAGGGTTTAGGGTTCTATTTAGGGATTCGGGTTTAGGGTTCAGGGTTTAGGGAGGGTTTAGGGTTTGAGGCTCCGGGCTGAGGACTGCTTTTTAGACTTAATTTAATGACTTGCGGTTTGGGGATCCAAGGTAGGTGTTAGGATTTATAGTGCGTTCGGGCCCTTGGGGTTTGGGGATCCAAGGTAGGTGTTGGGATTTATAGTGCATTCGGGCTAGCCCGGCCAGCAAGCCTTTTGTCTGCAGCGCTCTCCCGGCACAGGAGCATCTCACTCAATGGCTGATGAAACATCTGCTTCCTCTCATCTTCTGAACCGCGTTCCTGGGAGTTTCAGAAAATAAAGAAAACACAAATAGACTCCGAAATTTATGTTCCAAATGAAAAGGATGCACAAAGTATCACACTCAACTTGAGACAGAAGCATATGGCTCGTGTCTGGCTGGCACCAGTGTTCACGGATATATATATATATATATATATTTAAATATATATATATATATATATACGCGCAAATACCTATATATATATATATATATAGAGATATCTCTGTATATGTATTTGTTTATTGCACGCACACACGTAAAGTACTTACGTTACACTGCGTTGGTTTCCGTTGCGATGTCCCATACTACATTCCATTGTTTTGCCTTCCCCATAAAACATTCCATTGTTTTGCGTAATGCAAGACATTGGACCATACTATATTAAACTGTATTGCACCACATCACACTACACTACATTCCATTACATTGCTTGACATTGCATTCAATTGCTTTTCATTACATTGAGACATTGCATCGCATCGAACTGCATTACTTGGCAATACACCACATTCGACTACAATGCACTACATTGCACTACATTGCGCTGCGCTGCAATACAGTACGTTCCATTCCACCTACATGCACTAGACTCCACTATATTCCATTAATTACATTCTTTTCAGCTCCAGTCCGTTACATTACATTACATTAACATTACATCGCATTACATCAAACACATTGCAGTGCATAGCGTTACATTACATACATGCCAGGGATATGCATTACGTTTAACATCCGACATTTATGCTGGTATGTAGTTTAAGCCTCTTCTACGCATCCTGAACCCTAAACCCCTGAACTCCTAAACCTCTGCACTCCTGAACTCTAAACCCCTGAACTCCTAAACTCTAAACCCCTGAACTCTAAACCCCTGAACTCCTAAACTCTCAACCCCTGAACTCCTAAACCCTAAACCCTAAACCCCTGAACTCCTAAACCCTAAACCCTACAGGCCGCCCTCTCAAAGCTTTGATCGCGTCGGCGGCGGAAGGTTACCGAAGCTCGGGGAAGACTTCCTTGGCGGAAGTTTGGGTTTGGCGTTGTGTTGGGGTTCTGTTGCGTTCTATCGAGGGTTCGACCCTCAAAGGTTACCATATAAGCTTGGGTTTAGGGTTTAGGGTTTAGGGTCTAGGGTTTAGGGTTTAGGGTTTAGTGTTTAGGGTTTAGGGTTTAAGGGTCTATATAGGGCCCTAGGGTTTGTTTGTAAGGGTCTATACAGGGCCTTAGGGTTTGTTGCTTTCTCGTTGAAGATGCGAACGTTGCTTGTAAGACTAGGCTCGAACCCAAGAGAGGCATGGTAGAATTTCGAAACCGCTATATATCAGACCCACAACCCCGAAACACCCTGGACGCACCCTGTTTATACTTCTCTTGATGCAGTCATTGACTCACTGCACGATGTGAAGAATAGCTAAACCATGGTCACCCACAAGCTGGCTGTAAACCTGAAGATGAAGATCATCCTCCATTCCCGAAGTTGAGCGAACAGGTGTCTGGAGCATGGACGCAGCAGCGACTGCCATGTCGGAACCTGGACACATCGGCGGCAAACAAGACTTTCGGCTACCTGAAGAAGCCTATTTAAACAACTTGCAAAAGCTTTTTTCCTTTGTGAGTTTTTGCCGACAGTTCACTCGAGGGCCCTGGCACCTATACAGTGTATGTTGTGGCCTTTCATCTCCGGCCAACAGGAACTTCACGAATCGAGGGAGTCAGGAAAACCTAAACTGCTATCCCGCCATGTAGGAAGGCACCTTCTGAATAGTTCAGACCCTAAGGGCCCATCTACCCAAGTAGTATAGACTTTGACCTTAAAGTCGTCCCTATAAAGGTACTTTGGGGCCAATGTATATGCTATACTTACCCTAAGGCTCAAAATAGCCCCAAAAGCCCTAAACCCTAAACCTTGAACCCAAAAGCCCTTTTTTAAATAGCATGCTCTTTGGGCCAAAACGCCTCAACCCATGAGTCCTTAGAGCCTTAGGGT